TCCCTCCCTCCCTCCCTCCCTCCCTCCCTCTCTTTCTTCCTCCCTTCCTCCCTCCCTTTTTTCCTTCCTTCCTTCCTTTCTTTTTTGCAGGTAGTATTGCTTGAATTATGCCTCACTCTCTAGCTCAACTCTCTTGCTCTTGGCTGATGCTCTTCTACTTGAGCTATGCTTCTTGTTCAACATTTTGTTGGTTACTCAGAGATATATTATTGCAGCCTTTTCTACCTGGGCCAGCTTTGAGCTGTGATCTCCGAGCTATCACAATCCTCCATGTATTAGTTTTGAACTGATAACTATAGTCGCTGGGACTACAGGTGTGTGTCACCATCACCCATCCTTATTCTTTCTTTTGAACACATTGCAGAGCCTGGCTGGCAACTCACTGAGTCTACAGGACTATGAACCTCAAAATGTAGCTAAAATGCTTCTGCCGTATCCTCTCTGCTTCCTTCCAGTCTTCGTTTCCACTCTTCTTTATCTTCTGGTGCTTCCTTCTGAACATTCCTTTCCAAGCCTTCCTATCCAGTTATTGGTCCAAAGTTCCATTTATCTACTGGGAGGTAGAGTCTTTTTGCCTGGCTCAAGCTCTCTCTATGAGAAGCTCTTTCTCAGTTCCCTGCCTGAAGAGTGCCTGCCAACATACATTGGTCAGGATCATCTCATGTTTCTCTGTACAGAGCAGGTTTCACTGTACCCAGAAGTCTCTCTGCTGCCCACAGATCTATGGCACAGATCTAGGCTTATGACCTAACAGGTCAATTTGATAGCCTTTTTTGTTTATTTTCATGTATTCATTTATTTATTTTTTGTACCAGTACCAGAGCTTGAACTCTGGGCTTGGAGACTGTCTTTTACCTTTTGGCTCACTACCACTTGAATCACAGCTTCACTTCTGGAATTTTTTTTCCAGTCATGGGGTTTGAACTCTGGGCCTGGGTGCTGTCCCTGAGCTCTTCAGCTCAAGGCTAGGGCTAAACCACTTGAGCCACTTCTGGTTCTCTGAGTGGTTAATTGGAGACAAGAGTTTCACAGACTTTCCTGCCTAGTCTGGCTTTGAACCCTGATCCTCAGATCTCAGCCACTAGAGTAGTTTGGATTAGAGAAGTGAGCTACCAGCACCCAGTTCCTTTTTTACTGGTTTAAAGAAACATGTCCTGGATGGAGATGATTTTGTGTATGTCTTCACATCAGTTTTTCAACTGCTGAAACTCTGATAGCTTCCTTGGTTTTCTCTTGCATGGACCCTTGTCCATGGGTTTGACTCGAACTACCCCTGTCCCAAATGTCTGATTCTTTTATCTCTGGACTTGTTGTTGGTGAACATACTATCTCATTCATTCCAGATTGTCAGGTTGGAAGGCCAGAGATTTTTTTTTCTCCTACCATACCTCGAAGTAGACTTTGAACACTGCCAATGTGGAATTAAGGTATTCACATGGTTGACAGCAACCATAATTGGAGCTCTGTAGTGCGCGTGCGCGCGCGCGCACACACACACACACACACACACACACACACACAGCCTCACAGGGGATGAGACTAAAAGCTCAGGCAAGAGTGTATACTCTGGGCTTCCAGCTTGGTTCCTTTAGTCTTTCTTTGAACCAACATTCTGTTTTCCCAAGTGCCAGATATTTTGCCAAGGAGAGAGGTGGCAAGGATATTTTCCTGACATACAGTGGCAGTACAATGGGAACAGCACTGCCACAGGGGCACAAAGGAGGCCGAGAGAGTCTGCAGAGGACTCACCAAGGGATGACACAAGACAGGGATTACCCATCCAGGTAGACCAGATAGCCAGAGAGAAGCACATTTCCTGGGCAGGGAACATACCAATACAAAAGGCCAGAAGATTTGCACAGTACGATGAAAGTGGCACAACATGAGAAGCTCCAAACCTTGAATGCAGGATGAGGCAATGAAAACTGTTCTTGACTGAAGGAACAGCTGGCTCAAGGTGTATATGTATGCAGACCCGTTATTATTCATACCTCTTAGCAACCCTGAAAGAAAGGTAGTAGTTTTCTCCATTGCTGGGTGGGGAGACTAGGTCAATTTCTGTGGAAGCCCGGGACTATTGTACCTCTACTTACCTTGCAGATGAGAGAACCACACATTAGAAACATCTCCACTTTCTCTCTTGTAACCGGGCTGGTAAAATTTGTTGTTCTATTTGCATTGGGCTAAACTCTTTATTTTATTTATCTATTGGTGGTACAAGAGTTTGAACTCAGGGCTTTACATTTGTTAAGCACACACTTTATTACTTGAGTAATACTTTTAGCTATTTTTCAAGTTAAGGTCTGTACTTTTGCTTGGATCCAGCTTCAGACCATGGTCCTCCACATACCACAGGTATGTGCCTCCATACCCAGCTTATTTATTGAGATGGAATTTTGCTAGCTTTTGCCTGGGCTGGCCACAAATCAGATCCTCCCAATCTCTACCTGCCAAGTATCTGAAATTACAGAAGTAAGCACCTTTATCAAGCCAGGGATGAATTTTTTTATTTTTTTATTTTTATGTTTTTGTCGTTTGTGGGCTTAAACTCTGGGCTTGGGCGCTGCCCCTCAACTCTTCAGCTCAAGGCTAGTGCTCTACTACTTGAGCCACAGCGCCACTTCTGGTTTTCTGGTGGTATATTGGAGATA